TCTTAACTAGATTCGTAAACGATTATTTTCGTGCACCATGAACCCAAACCTAAGTTTTGGCTGTTATTTTAGTTTCTTCCAATGATACATCTTTCGTTCTGCTACGATTTCACGACTGAAAAAAAGTTGGGCAACAATTTCGAATAAGCCATTTCTTCATTAAAAGAAAACATGGCAAAAAATGGGTCGCATTTGAAGCCAAGGCTTTGCAAAAGGACAATTTTCTATGTAGTCAGCTATTTTTTTGGTGGTATAAATAAGGTTTAGGTGACTATTTTTCTAAACAATAGCTTTGCGATGCAAATTCGGAAGTAAATATTGCATCCATCTGTTCTTTTCAGAAACTTATAATTCACTCTTATTTGACTATAATGAATAAATAAGCATCAGTTTACGTCTGAATAGCAAATTTTGCCCTCAAGCCTCGTCTACCAGATGCTGAGTGGCGAGCTCATGATAAGAAAGCAATATCAAAACTTCGATGAAAATAAAATGTAAAAGAAATTGAGCAAAGTAGTGCTCTGGTAAATTATAGTCGAGCGAGGATTTCATAGGAGTTCTCGGGATTTGTATCCTGCCTGAGCGCTGAGTTATCGTATTGATTTGAGAAAAGAAAAACAGAGGAAAAAGGAAGGCCCACGAAATTTCGTCAGGCGGAAGAATTTTCATGTGACCATTAACCAATAGTGTTTAACCATAAGTTTCTAAAAAGAACAGATGGATCCCAGTGTTTAATATTGCCAGTGTATTTATGGATCGCGTGATTAGGCCTAAGTTAATAGACTTTAATCCTAGTTAAAAACATCGTTATATTCTTAGTGAATTTTTTATAAAACTAACCTCCGTTTACCCCCTGCCAGCAGACAAAAAACATCATAACTTGCCCATACAAAACTTAAGCTCACTTGGTTTGTCGTTATATGAAGTATCCCTTACAATATTTGTTTATAAATGTTTTTCTAGCCATTTTCCCTCTACAGAAGCCCTCAGGACAGCATCATTAAGCTGGAATGTGGATAGAGGCAAGCCTCTGAAAGAAAACAGAGGTGAGAGGTGGTTTCATGTAGACTGGACCGCCAAAATGCTTTCATATAACCTTGGCGAGTTCACAAGTGAAGTCGTGTCTCTGGCCGATCTGTGGATGGCTACCAGAACCTACCAAGGCTTTTTGGGCCAGGTTTGAGTGGCAAAAGTCTCGATGGAGGTGATATTTTGCTGGTAGGACTGGGTGGCCCGACACGATTCTAATCATTTGTTAAAATTGAAATGTGAAGTGTTCCCTTCTCGAGTTGTGGTGGAATTTCCCAGAGTTCTTTTCGGTCATAAACGAGGCAAAGGTCGTGTTTGCGACACTAGCTTTCGTCAAATGGAGAAACGAGGGCTAGTGGATAAAGTGAGAAAACATTTTCCAGTCAAACAGCAAGATCTGGCCCTGAGGTGTGTTTTGAATGCAAACTTTTGATTTCTTGAGCAAGTTTTGATATTAAAAGATCGTCACTTTTTCAGTGTTACTCTTGGAGTAGAATGCTGGATTTTTGGGATTTGTTGTTATATGAACGGTTCACTGCAATGGAAATCGAGAATCATTGTGGCTGTTTTAGGCTGCAATAGGCGTCACATCAAACAGCCTTGCAATGTACACACTTAAATAATGTTGTCTCTTAATTTAAACAAGAAACAAATAACCACAGTAGTCTGTGTAATTACACTGATGTATGCATGGCTTGCCCTGAAAGAGTTAACTAACTAGTCAAGTAACCCGTCAAGTAACCCGTTCCATGAGACTAAAAATTTCCCCCTCTTATCAAATTCTGTTGTTTACATAACCATGCATGACACAATTTCCAGACTGAAACAATATTGTTAAAATTCCCATTCCCTTACTTATTCAGCCTATGTAAAAAACTGAGAGATTTTTAATTGTGACGATAGGTTTTCCCGGCGTGCGTAACTGGAAAAACTGAACCTTCGCAGACTGCACAACAATAACTGGGGGAAACTAACTCGGTAGAGACCACTTGGCAGCGAGAACGGAAACTCGTCACGATTTCCTGGTACACGGAGATCTACTTCGAGCGAGCTTATACGGACGTCAAGGATGAACAAGCAGGTAAACAAGCGACGTGACCTCTAGTGAACCTAAGTTTATAATCATGGATGTAATCATCAAAACTGTACAAGGTAGCTGCTTATAAGCTAACTGATGTGAAGTGCTATTGTTATCCAGATCTACCACATTTAAACATAAAAAAAAGAGCAGTAAGATCTCTTTGAAGTTAAACAAAACTACTTAAATATTCCGAACTGTCTCTACAACGGAAAGAATTTCCAATTAAAAAGACGGATGCAATAAACTCGAAGCCATTAAAAATAGGAAACTCAGGTGAGAATTCACAGCTCTGGCGTAGAAAATATACCTACCTTAATTGCAGTAGCGCAGCTTAGGAAATAAGAGTGGAAAAGTAATCAAACGTTTCCGCTTATCTATGCAAGGTTGGTGTGGAAATTACCGTATGAAAAGGAATTAAAATTACGAGTTTAAACTCAGCTGCCAACTACCATAAGAACTAATTTTGCCAGAAAGACCATCAACACTTATATTTGCCTAAAATTTCACTAGAGTTGAACAAGAAAAGTACCAAGATGCAGCTTTACAATTGAACTTGGCTATTAAAAAATCACTTGTGGCTTTTTATCTTTTTTAAAACACCGCAGTGAAAGAAACTCGCATGAATTGTGAACGCTAGATTTCCCAAAACAACGAATAAATACAACATAATACAGATACTAAAAGTAACATGAAGGTATCATAATTTGCAAAGCAAAAAAGACTAAGAATTGGTTTTTAC